CCTGTGTGTCGTCCTCAAGTTTGCTCATCTCACGAAAGCTATTTCATCTTTACAAGGGGACTTGTTTCTCCCTCTCTCTCTCTCTCTCCCCCCCCCCCTTTTTTTTTCTGTTTCTAAATAAAAACGAAGGAGTCCACCTAGGAGGAATCGCTCGCAGGCCTCAGACTGGGTTAACAATTTTTAAGCAAATTTGTAAACGGGATTACTGTTTTCCAAAGTTGTGCTCTGCGAGGGGATTAGTCGCCACCACCGTGGCCACGGGGCGTCCCCTGGTCCTCTGACTCCCCTGCCTGGAGGCTGAAGGTGCTCGGAGAGGAACAGGAGGAAGAAGCCTGATAGGGCAGTTTTCCTGGAATTGCCTGGAAACTTTTACTTTCTGTTTCCTCTGCTGATAATGACGGTCTTCGGTCTTCGTTCTGCAGCCAGCCCCGCGCTTCCCCCTCCCAGCCCCCTGTTGCTGCACGCCATCCCCGAGCTCCAGTATAAAGTTTGGCTTTTGCAGCAGGAAGCAGCTGGGCCAAGCAACCAGCGAATGATAATGACCTCAGAAATCTGCTGTTCGCTCGGCAACAATAGGGTGCTCAGTCTACTGGAAAATTGTGTTCATCAGCTAACTCTGCTCAGTTACTAATTGACATTGCCAAATATTTTAAGAACAATTGGAATGCACAAGCAAAAAAAAAAAAAATGAAGATCTTAATCCTCAGACTTAAATTTTTTTTTCTTTTTCTTTTTCTTCTTTTTTTTTTCCTCCCCCCTCCCCCGCCTTCTTCGGGGGCGGGGGTGCCCAGATCTGTTTGCGTGGAACAGGCAGGGGTTATGACGAATGGGGGCAGGGAGGAGGAGCCCCATCAGAAAAAAGAGGTGGCGGGGAAAGAAAATCTATCATATCACTGTACGCCCCGATGTAAATGCAAGGGAGCCCAGGATAAAGGCCTCTGATGCGTGGTCAATGGGCCTACACAGGACTGGAGACCCAGCATCTCAGGAATGCGGCTCAGGCAACAAAAGGAGACCCCACAAGGCTTCCAGCCCAGCTGATCAAATAATCCTTGACCATCTCAAAATATCATAGCAGAAGAAGTAGGGGTTAACGCTGTTTTCATCTGTGCATCTCTCCCTGGCTTTCCATTGATCACGTAACTTAGCCGACTTTATTTAATGAACAGAGGGTCAACGCATTCAATTACCCCCTTCCCACCATCAACACTTCAATTAGCCCCTCTCCAAAATTATGGGGAATGCAGAAGGTAACTGCCCTGTTGGATATAATGAACAGTATCGTTTCTTAGTACATTAAGTTTTAATTATTCTGAGCGTGATTTCCAAGGCAAAACCCAGAGAAACAGAACTTTGGTCGTCTTCTGGCTCAGAGGAAAGCTCAGATCTGAGCACAGGGTCTTCGTGGAGGTTTCGGGGAGAGACGCAGAGATTCACGCCATCGGAGGGTTTTGCACGCGAGCCAGGAAACGAGGGGGGCGTCAGAACAGCCGCCCCGCTTTCTAAATGTCATAAAAGAGTAAAACGTATAAGCTGCCGTTTTCCAAACAGCTTCCCTCGGCGTCGTACACGGAGGCAGAAACGACATCCACGCTGGTGCGAAATTACCGGGGAAGTCAAATCATCAACAAACAACAACAACAACAACAGCAGCAGCAGCAGCAGCAGCAATAAAACAAAGGGGGGGGGGGAGACGGGGAAGTGATCCATGTGACTGGTTTTGTCCATTTTCTGTTAGAAAATATGACCTCTCAATTTGTCAGAGGTCCTGGTTCTCGCGGTTGATCTTAAGCTCGGTTCTCAGCAGTTTGGAGAGCCAAAGAACAAACACATTTTCTGGTTCACTGGAATCACTTTCACATGTTCACTGATTCAAACATTCTTTTGCTCACATAACAAACAGCTGCATCCCACATTAGCCTAGCCAGTGACAGTCGCCCATCTCGGCAGTAACTGTTTGATTGCAAACTTGACCCCTTCTTCGTCTCGGTCTGAGCAAGACATTTTTAAACAGCCACTCGGTTCCCAATCCTCCTTTGCAAAGAATTACATCAGATAACAAAGGACGCCTCTGCCACTCATTGTAAGCCTTCTTCTGGAGATCTGTTCTAAGAGGCTCTCTGTAAAAAGGTTTTTTTTTCTTTTTTTTTTTATGATGAATTCAGAACTACTATCATGTTAAGAGCAGCGATTTATAAAGAAGAATTCACTGGTTAAGATCTGAAAAAATAGTTTCTCAGGCCCTACTGACCCAGTTTCCAACAAAAAAAAAGAATCAAGTGATGCAAATTAAGTTTTGCGACATTGCTATGCAGTCTGAGAAATTTGTAAAACCGTGTTTTGCAGTTATTTCTTAATAGAAGCCTTAATAAGTACTCCTTTCTTTACTTAAGGGCTTAGAGATTCTTCCCCCCCCCCCCACCTTCACCTTGCAGGTTTCTAACAGGTAATAATAAAAATGCCTATTGTGTCAAGATTTTTATTTAAATGCCTATTTTTAATCGCACTTTTCTCAAGTCACACTTGTTAGAAATCAGAGGGAAGACTAACCAGATTGGGCTAAGGGTCCTAATCCCCAAGGAAAACCTGAATGCCCCGGGGGCGCGGGGCTGATTTGGGCTGCATCTTGGTATGCCATCAATTTTCCCACTTAGTCGGAAAATTATGAAAGGGTCTAATTTGAATATGAAGAAAACAAAGAAGTCAACCAGAAATGAAAGAATCAGTATTCACGATGGTAAAATACTTCAATGAGGGAAATTAAAGTGAGAAGATAACCACAACTCAAGAATAATTCTCCTTTGAGTCGTAAGCCCGGTTGGTTCTTTTAAGCAAAATGGGTTTCTTTTTTTGTTTTGTTTTTTGGGTTTTTGTTGCTGTTGTTGTTGTTGTTGTTGTTTGTGGGTTATTTTTATTTTTATTTTATTTTATTTTTTTGCAACAGAGTATTTACAGATATGGAAACTACAGAGAGAGAATAGTGTGAGGCTATCACTTGGCCAGAAGGTGGGAAAAACATGGTAAACACGTCATTAATAAAGCCGAACATTTGGTGCCGGAATATTCTGCTGAGACCTTTTCATTTCAGCAGGTCTGGGAGAGGGATGAAAATCTGTCAATGTTAACTCCTCATCACTCCAAAAACTTAGGGGAGCCAGTCTGCCCTCTGCTTCCTGCCCCTTAAAGGCCCCCCATACCCAACCCTTGGATCCAAAAACGGTGCAATGATGCTCCCCCTGCACCCCCAGAGCAGGAGACCTCTTCCTAGGAGGGCGGAAATCGTCCCTCCTGACAGGGGGCCCGCCTGGCACTTTGCTGCCTCTGCACGAGGGGGATGGATCCGCTTTTCAGGAGTTCCTGCTGTCAGGCCGTGAAACTCAGACACCCTTCCTGGGCATCTCGTCCGTCGGCCTCACGCCCTCCGTGGTACTCACGCTCCCGGTCAGGCCCTGCCGGGGCGGGGAGGGGGGTGCTGGGAGGGGAGGGGGCCTCACCAGAAATAAATCGCCGGCGAGTCTAGGACTCCAGGAGCAGACAGTGTGTTTCATGGGTATTTAAACAGCAGCATTAAGTGCTATCGGAATCTCTGGAATGTGCAGTTCAGATTTATGTGCGTTCACAGTTCTTTACTGGTGGGTGAGAAGCCCGCGGACCCACGCTTTCCGTTAATACTGATTTTTGTCCTGGAAGAAGGGTTAGGCCGAGGCACGACAATGACACCAGAGCTAAACCGGCATCTCCTGGAGAACTACGGTGGTCAACCGCTCCCAATACGGACATGTTCATCGGAACCCAGAAGGGGGAAAAAGGGGGGGGAAAAAGAAGAAGAAGAAGAAGAAGAAGAAGAAGAAGAAGAAGAAGAAGAAGAAGAAGAAGAAGAAGAAGAAAAACTTTACCAAAATGACCCTCAACAGCGCGTCGCCACGCCTTTCACAGTGGGCGATGCAGTGCCTTGAGGTGCCTCAAACTGTCTTTCATTTTCTAGACTTAATGGCTGATTGCAGAAATCAATGTTGCCATTAGTAACAGGGTATTTGTTATGGCATGATTTCCTCTGTTGTTAGGCTGCAGAATGATTACAGTATTAGCGAGATGCTTTCTTTATAAAGGGCTACAGATATAACTTTCAATTTACCATCCATTAGAAAGGGACTTTGAAAATAGGGATGCAGGCAACGAGCTTACCTGCTGTTAGGTAGGGATTTTAATTTAGCAGTCTTAGGCCAGTGGGCTTTTTTGTTTTGTTTTGGGGTTTTTGTGGGGTTTTTTTGGGTGGTTTTTTTTTTTCTTTTCCCCCAAACCGGGCCAGGAAGCTTCAGCGTTTCACAGACATTTTGATGACAGATTTTCTGCTTTGCTATTTTAGATCGCAAAGCTGTATCGCCCGTGTGACACAGTACGGTTTAAGACACGCCGTCGTGCATCTGTGTCTCAAACCTCTCTGTGTTTTTCCAAACCGTCGGGAGGAGAGTGGTGTGTGTGTGGTTCTTCGGGCTAGAGGGGCCCGGCAGGTGAGCCACGCTGTGATTCTGGGAGGGGTCGGCCGCGGGGCGGTGGCGGGGGGGGGGGCGCGGGTTGGACAGGAGACAGGTGTGGCCTGGTGAAGGAGGGTGGGGACGCCCACATGTGACGACCTTAGGGGTCTGAACTTACGCCTTCACATCACGGATGGAGCCAAAAGGTTCCAGAGACGAGGGGATGATGGCGGATGGGGATCGGGGCACACACTGGGGAAGGACGGGCCCTGCCTGTTGGTGGACACAGCGACTGGCCATCGCTGCTGTGCACGCAAGAGGATCAGCTCTGCTTCCTGGTAGCCAGGGTTCAAGGGAAGGCCAAAGGCTGGAAGTGCAGGTCCACCCGCCGCCAGCTAGGCCCAGGAGCTCAGGACCCACCTGGAGGAACCGCGACGGCCCTTCCCCGGAGGCCCACGGACAGCCAGCCTCTCCCCGCCACACCTCCCCGCACAGCGAGGGCCCCCATCTTCCCCGGCAGCCTACCTGAGGAGGACGGCGAGGAGGGGTGCGGGCTGTCCTCCTGGGCACTCCCGGTCTGCGAGAGCCCGCCGCCGGCCCCGCTCTCCTCGGTGACGTTGGAGGAGCCCGGCGTGGTGGAGCGGCTCACCGACTGGGACTCCTGGTCGCTGCCCGAGCCGCGCCGCTCGTCCAGGCCCACGTGCAGCCCGTCCTCGTCGCCCTTGCGGTCCCGCTTGTGGACGCGGGAGTGCACGACCACCTGGTGGTAGGTGCGGAACACGCGGCCGCAGTCGGGGCACTCGGTGGGCTTCTCCTTCATGTTCCCGGGACCCTGCAGGTTGTACTCGAGCGCCTGGTTCAGCCCGTGTGACAAAAAATCCCGACTGCCTTCTAAAGGGTCGAGCTTATTTGGCAGGTCTCTCTGATTGCCCACTTTAGTGCTGTGAACGAAATCAGCAGGCATTTTCTGCTTGGAGCCATCTGCTCCCACTAACACGTACTCCCGCTTCTCCTTATCAAACATAACTCCGGCGTTTGCCAAAGTGTCTTCGTGGTTGCGCTGTAGCTGATGCTCTTTAGACAAGAAGCCGTGCTCCATGGCCATGCCCCTGGCCATGAGCTGCCAGGCCTGGTAGCTGTTGACCGGGTCCATCTCGGCAGCCTTGGCGGCCGCCTGCAACCGCTCGATGCAGCTGGACTTGAGCGGCGGCACGAGGTTGAGGCACCCCAGGAGGGAGTGCTTGTCGCCCTCGGGGACGCCGTGGGCCATGCTGGAGATGGGCGACAGCAGCTTGCCCAGGACCTCCCTCTCTTTCATGGGCAGCTCCCCCTTGCCGTACAGCTGGCCGGGCTCGCTCAGGCCGGCTTTGTCCGGGGCCATGAAGCCGCTCTGCAGGCAGGACAGGTACCTGGAGTACAGGTTGGCGTGGGCCTCCTGGGACATGCCGCCCATGGGCGCGGGCACCTCCGGGTCGCTGGGGGACTTGTTCTTCACCGACAGCTTGTTGAGGTGGACCTTCATGTGGTTCTTGAGGAACCAGGGCTCTTTGAAGCGCCGGCCACAGATCTGGCAACAGTGCTCGAAGGAGTCTTTGTGCTTCCGCATGTGGCCCTTGAGGAACCACGCCTGGCTGAACACCTGCCCGCACACCTCGCAGCGGAACTCGTTGGCCGACTGCTCCCCGCCGCCGTTGGGGCCCTGGCCCTGGGCCGACTCGGCGGTGATGTGGGCCTTCTCCACGTGGCTGATGAGCTCCTCCTCCTGCGAGGCGGCGAAGTCGCACAGCGTGCACTTGTAGGGCTTGTGCAGGATGCGGATGTGGCGGTCCAGCTCCTCGCGCTTCTTGAACTTGCCCTTGCAGAAGGTGCAGCGGAAGCCGGCGGCCGGGACCACGGCGTCCTCCTGCACGCTGGCCGGCTTGGGCGAGGGCGCCGGGTGGGCCACGTCGGGCACGCTGGGGTTGGCGGGCAGGGCCAGGTTGCAGGCGGCCAGCGGGGCCTGCTGGGCGTGCGCCAGGGGCTTCAGGTCGGGCCGGGGCTGCAGCAGGCTGCTCTTCATCTGCTTGTCCCGCAGGATGGCTCTCTCCTCCAGCTCGTGCAGCAGGCGGTTCTCCTCGCGCACCCGCCCGCGCCCCTTCCCCAGGTTGCCCAGCTTGTGGGTCCGCAGGTGGATCTTGAGGTTGCCCTTCTGCGCCGCCCGGTGGTCGCAGTAGGGACACTTGAAGGGCTTCTCGCCCGTGTGAGTGCGCATGTGCAGGGAGAGGATGCTGTTGAAGCGGAAACGCTTGCCGCACAGCGGGCACGGGTACTTGCGGTTCTTGCGGGCGTCGTCCTCGATGTCGCTCATCTGGGACATGATGCCCAGGTTCTGCCCGTTGAGGAACTGCTGCAGGTCCACCCGCCCGTTGAGGCTGGTGTCCACGTCCCGGCCCAGCTGGTTGGCCAGGAGCGCCATCTGACTGCCCATGGGCTGGCCGCTCATGGGCACGTGCGCCTTCTCGTCGAGGGGCGCGGGGGCCTTGTCCTCGGGGTTGGGCCGGGGGTGCAGCTCGGGGAAGGCATGGCTGAGCTGGGAGGTGATCTGGTGCAGCTTCTGACTCATGGCATACTGGCCGTTGAGGACGGGGCCGCTCAGGTGGGGCTCGGCCTCGGGCGCCGCCGCCGCCGCCGCCACTCCAAGGCACAGGCTGGCTTCTTCCATCCCTGCAAATCAAGAGCGAGAGTTCAGACCCGAGCCGGGCACCGCGGCGCGGCGGACGCACAGCATCGGCTGCTGGGGGATGTGCATTGCGGGCCTTAACCTACACGTAAGGATGCCGAGGAATTAGAGTCAAAAACAATAATAAAAGGATGAATTATTAAATGCCAATTATGCAATATGGCATCGCTCCTCCAATTTGCTTTGGCGATAGACCGTCTCCCTTGTATTTTCTATTTACCGACTGCAATTATTCATTCACGTGTAAATTATTCATGTTTTACCACTTTCAACACCTAATAACAAATCGAGGGTCTACGTGTTAAACTTTTCCTCCCGTCCCCCTTGCAGCGCCCGCACCTGTTGGTTCCGTTCAAAGTTTGCCTCCGAGCAGAAAGGCTTTCACCGCGAGACCAGAGACTCACTTGGAACTTTTGTTTCCGGTGACTATTTTCAATACATTCGCCAGTCTGAGATGAAAGAGATTATTTTATGATTTGCCCCTCCCCCCCCCCAAAAAAAAACCCCCAATGGCATGATATTTACTGGTACATAATAAAACAAGATAATGTTTTGGGAAAAAATAAAGTAAAGGACAGGCTTTAGAACAATAAAAGGGATTTTGCTTTAGTCAACAAAAAGTGCAGTAATATCTCATTAAGCTGATTAGTATGCTGCTTAGAAACAGTACTAGGTGCTGTAACACATGATTATAATCATAAAAATCCTTCAGTGTTTGCAAGGAAGCATTAACGAGGTATATTAAATTTTAAGGAGACTGCGAGTAGCGGCTTTGCAAACCTCAGAGATTAAGAGTTAACCCTTATGTTACGAAACGCTGTTATTTTGTCATTTGGTAACCGTGCCCGTCAAAGGAGGTGTAAATTATCCGGTGACGGAATCCTAGTGGATCGTCGTCGTCGTCGAGGCCGTTCGTTTTTGGGTGGGGGGCGAGGACTGACACCGTGTGAAGGGCCCTCCCTGCCTGGCACTGGCATGATATCCCAGGCAGGGACTCTGATTGGGCTTAAAGAGATCCTTTATAGAACTAGATAAAAACCAATTAAAATCCAGGGATGATGCCATAGGAAGTCTCAACCAAGTTTGAGTGTTTTTAATAACTTTCCCAGAATACAGTAATGAGTACAAATTGTACCTGCAGTATGTGTTTTGCAGAAAATTAGAACTCAAAGCTGTTTGTTAAACACTAACACTCAAAGCTGGTCTGCGTAATTGCTTTTAATGCTCCTCTCTGCCCCCCTCCCCAGCCTGTGCAGACCTGCGAAGCCCACACTGCGGGGGGGGGGGGGTGGAAGGAACCTGCAGGCGCGCGCATGCCCCCAGCCGCCCCATCCCCACCGCGGCATGCCAGGAGCTCAACTCTGAAAGGCAACGAACCCATGCCTGGGTCCTTCCATTTCCAGATCTGCCTTCCACCTGAAGGAGTCCAAATTCGCCTCCTGCAACTGGAACAGTCTTTGCACATCTCTCCTCTTTGTATCCCGATGTTTACATGTGTCGGCCAGCCAGGGGGTCCGGGAGCAGCGCTTAACCCCGGCCAGGACTGATTCCTGGGCCAAGCGATTCCCTCCGGGGACTGGTAGGGGACAGAGCTCAACTGTGGAGGAAACGCATGCAGCCCTTGGGGGAGGCGGGGGTGGGGGTGGGGTCTGCTACCTACCGGGCCTCCTGCCAGGCAGACTGTGCCCGGCATGGAGGGTCTCCAACGGGAGACCCGGCTTCCTTGGCAAGAGGACGGGCCGTGAGTGCGTCTTGCAAGGTGGGGGAAGGAAAAGACATGAATGTGTATCTGCAGGAGGGAGAAAAACTGCAGCCACGGCGCGGGGCTGGCTGCGTCCAGGAACGAGGCCGCGGACGCCTGCGCACATTCACGCGCGCATCTAGGCACATGGTCACCCGCAGCAGAAGGAAGCTTCCCGTGCGCCATCTTTCCGTTTTGTTTCTGGCGGCGGTCTACACGCAAATTAAGAAATAATAATAACAAAAAGTCCATTTTGGAGACTGGTCAGAAAAGGAGTACTTTATCACGGGGATTCTTGTATCCGTTCGCCAAACTTGCGGAGTTCCCGCCGAACGCCGGGCCCTGTCCCTGGCACTTAAGACACCCTGGTGGACAAGAGTGGCCGGCCCCAGTGCCCGTGGCACCCAGTGCCCAGCAGGGAGGAGCAGGCCCAGGGTGCGGAAGTTGCTAGGGCAGCTCCGGTGCCTGGAAGACCCCAGGCAGGGACCCCGTCAGCCCCCAGGGCCCTGCCCGGAGCCCCTTCTCCACCTTCCAGCTCCATCCGGCTGTGCTGGCTCCTCTCCCAAGCAAACACGGATCATGACCCTGAAGCCACTGGGGAGTGCTCAGAATTCCACCCAACAGCTCTGGGGAAGTTTGGAGAGTCCAAAGCCAACATGGCTGGCCCACATCCAACGGCTGCCCAGTTGGCCTTCTCAGAAGACATGAATCCAGAAAGACAGGCTATTTTCAGGTTGCTGCTGATGAGCTGACGCCAATTCAGCAGGAGGGAGAGGAGGCTGAATGTGCAATACAGCGAGACTGCAAATCAGGTTGGATGAGGGGCACCAAGTCGAAGACCATCCCCCGTCCCCACTCGTGCTGGATAAGTAACGGCTCAATTTGCTCAAATGATGAATGTGGGGAGTTTGCAAGTGAGGTCTGGACAGAGAATTCTTTTAATACGTTAAAAAAAAAAAAAGAATCCTTTCAGTCAACAAAGCTTTTTTTAAGGAACTGGTCTTCAGGTGCCATTGCTGACGCGTCAGCTGAGGGGAGACAGAATGTTCTAGAACGTGCAGAGGTACAGCCGGCTCCCTGTCCTCACGCGGGTCTCAGCTCACAGGGCCCCTTGTCACAAAGACCGCCGTGCCTCCCTCGTCTGAGGCCGTTGCCCCCGGCCTCTCTCGACCCCATCACCTTCTCTTCCTTCTCCAACAGCACTTAACCACTAGGGCAAAGTTTTGTCGTTGACCCTCTTACAAACGTGCATGGTCACGGTGGAAGCCTCCAGGCCCAGGGGCAGAGCTGGCCCATTGTAAGCTCAGCATTTTCTGGCCAAATGGATGGATAAATGAATGAAGAGACCCTATAAACGTAGCCCGTAAAAGAAAGCTAGCCCTGTAGGAGACACACTCTCCTCCCAGCCTCGCGCCACCTAAACTCAGCGTTTGCACAGCTCTCAGGTTCTGCTGGGGTTGGTTGGAAGGGTCTCTGGCTAACCTAGGACAGAGGGGTTCAAAAACCACCAAGGGAGGGCCACCCCCACCAGCAGCTCCTTCACCATATGTGCCCGCGGTGACTGTCCCAGGCCTGGGCCACCGCCGAGCAGCCATCCCCTTGAGAACTCACTCAACCACCCAACGGGGGACCCATGGGAGAGCTCAGAATTTGGGCAGAGCTGGCCGGCTCTCAAGGAGATGCTCTGAGGATTACAGCCCCCGGCCCCTCCAAGGAGCCCGGGCAAAGCCCACCCAGAGCCCCACTGGGAGAGGACCGGCCCCGCCAGACAATTATCTCCGAATGTTTGGTGAGACCGGCTCCCCGTGATTCCGTGAGCAGGTGCAGGCCCTGCGATGGGTCAGTCGAACCAATGCCAGCCGCCAGACTCAGAGCAAGAAAGGGGAGCGTGAGTTCTTGGAAAGAGCACGGGGTAATTGGTGTGCTGTCCCCGGGCCAAAGCAGCCGAGGCAAGATGAGCTGGCCCCAGGCCCGGCCTGGGCCTCACAAAACCTGGGTCGGCCCCAATTTCTCCAGCCTCGACACTTCACCCATCCGGAATTCATTTACCCCTTACGTCAGTCATTCGGTAAATCCTTGCCAGGGGGCCCTCTACGTACCTGCCGTCAAGGGCCTCTGGGGTCCCGGGGCCAGTGCAGGCGAGGCCACCGGTCACAGGAAGCGATGCAAAGGCTCAGAGAGGCTGAGCTCATGGTTTGGAAACAGGAGTAACCACGACAGCTTTGGCACCAAGGTGTGTGTGCGTGCGTGCACGAGCACGTCTGCGCTGGGGGAGGCAGGGGTTCCCTCCGTAGTAGCGCTCTAGAAACTACAGAGGCACACCCCGGGGAACTCAGGGATCGTTAATCCTGCTCTTAGGAGACTGGATCCCACTGCAGCCCTAAAGAGCTCAGGGGGCCAGGGAGGTGAGGCTCCTGCAAGGGCTCCCCGGCCGGCCGTGACTCGGCTTCCCCAGCCCCTCGGGGGGCAAGCGCAGGGAGAGTGCCTTCCCTTCAGACCACGCGGTTCCCTCCCGCCGTCAGTGTGTCTGGCAGGGCCTCCTGCCACAGGACAGTCCCCGGTCCCGGTCGCCAGGGCAGATGAGCGTCGGCACGTGGCACTGCCCCTGCTCAGTCACCAGCTCCAGGGAGCACCTGGAGCACCGTGTGCCCCACCTAACCTTCTGGACTCCTTACCCCAGGACCCCGGACAGGGCTGCTGACCCCGATCCCGGCGTGGGGCAAGCCGGGGCCTTCTGAGCAGCCTCCACGGCCGCGCGCGTGACCCTCCCACGCAGGTAGGGAAACCCGGGCACGATTCAAAGCAAGGACACCACCGCCCGGGCCCTGAGGACAGCCTGCCGCGGGCCTTCAGCTCCGGGCCCCCCGAGGCGTACATGAAGCCCGTCAGGAAGGAACTGAGGCAAACGCAATTTACCTAACGGTGCAGGGAAAGGCAGCCACGCTGGGCAGTGGGAGGCCGCTGCAAACTGCTGCATCTGGGACCCCTCCCCCCCCCCGACCCCGTGGAAGCTTCACAGCATTCCACCCCAGTCCTGGCCCGGCCTGCCCCCCGCGTCGCGGCGCAGCGCTGCTGTACCCGAGGCTGTACCCGAGGCGCCATCAATATTGACAGAGGACCAGGCGTGGGCGCGAGTCCCGGCCACCGCAGCATTCCACACCACCCTGTGGAGAGGCCTGGCCCCGCGTCCGAGCCCAGGCCGGGCCCCGCTGAGAGCCTCAGGAGGCGACGGAGGTTTCCTTC